TGTCTATATCTTATCCTGTAGAGTGTGCGGTATAGAGGCTTTACTGCTTTACTGTACAGATGTTTCAATGTCATGTATCCACAAAGGTTAAAAAAAGAAATTATTCCCGAAAAAGAAAGACCTTTGAGTTATAAACATATACTCCATCCGTTCCAAATTATAAGTCGCTTTGACTTTTTTGATTCATCCATTTTGCTATGTATCTAGACATATTATTATATCTAGATGCATAGCAAAATTGATGTACCAAAAAAGTCAAAGCGACTTATAATTCGGAATGGAGGGAGTAATAAAGAGAGTGTAGTGTATACATATACAAAAATGGTAGGCTATTTTCTCTTTATAAGCAAAATAACGGTATAATCCGGAAAGAGGATGAGAACTATCAGAAATTTAAAAAGCAGAAAAGGCATGTACATGTCATCCATTTTGGCAATATGAAATTATGAATGCGTGCTATTTTTCTTTAACTTCTCTACAGCGTGTATGAACTTTGACATGTGATCTTCAAGTACACATAAAGCTAGATGTGCTGTAAATGTACTTGGGGTTTGTCAGCAGTACCCAAGTTTACTAATTTTGAAGCAAAATTAAGTACTGATAGGTGATAACCGTGGTTAATCATGTAATACCAGTGTTTGGGGAATTGCCACCATACCATTAGTGAAATTGCACTTTTGCCAACACTCCATCGAGTGTGTCTATGACACTCGGGACCAGGCTGCCAACTATCATAGTGATAGATCTACGCCATTTTGCCAATGTAGGTTTAGAGGTTTTTTTTGGCAAAATTTCCTTAGTTTAAAATTTAAATTGACACCTTTATCCAAAAGAATATCTCTGTCGATTTCAGCAAAATTCACACAAAAAGAAAAAACAACCTGGAGTTTGATATGGAATGATTGAGAAATTTTTGGAGAGTCAAAATCCTAACAAAGAAACAATGTAACGGAAAAAGAGAGAATAAGATAGGTGCTTCATATATTCACATATACTAAATCAAGGTTATCAAGTCATCCGACTAACCGCAATTAGTCGGGCTTATTGGTGCCATGCAATCAGTTATGCACTACGATTAGTCCCAATTAGTCACGATTCGTCGACCTGATCGGTGCCATAGTGACTAGGGTCAATTAGACGAGTTGAAAACATCGTACTAAATTTAGTGATTGTTTTTCATATTGATTACCAATGGCCAACATGATATTACAAATTACAAAAGTATTTTATTTTAAAAATTATCATGTAGTTTATGCAAAAGGGGTGAAAGGAAAAAGAAGGCACTGAAGCCACTTTTAAGTGCTATAAGCTGGAACCAAGTTGAACCCATGCAATTGGCGAATTAAACGTTGCTCCACTAGGAGAGAAATGTCATGTTACCCCATTTGGGAAAAAGTACTCATGTGGATACACATGCAGTGCAAGATCATTCTCAAAATGGAAGGTGATGGTCGGGAATCCATCATCTACACTGCAAGAGAAATGAACACAACAGTTAGAATCATAATCATAGTAAGAGAATATAATCTGTGGGCTGGTGATTCATCTTTGTGCCAATTCAAATGAAACAGAGCAAGTATGAAGGGACCATGAAAGAAGTATGAGAGGGCATTATCGATATCAGGATTCAGTAATAATATATTTCATCATGTATGAAGTGCAGCACAGAAGGAATTGCAGGTAATTTAGTACGCTTCCAACTGCAGCTGTATTGTGTAAGCCATACCTTCCAGGATATTGGAAACACATAAAATCTTGAACGTTATGGAAGACTATATCTTGATGCTTGTTAAATACCTACAATTGGTTGAGAAATATAATATGAAAAGAAAGGAATATGGTCCTCTGTTATAAGGGACAAACTAGAATATGATCTTTGTCATACCGCGGCCATTACTTCTTTGAAAACCAATTCTGGAAGGTATGTCAAGGTAGTACCACTGTCGATTATAGTGCCCTTTTTCTCTCCTGCTTCAAAAACATGAGCTGGGAGCTGTAATGTAGTGCCACCAACATCAATTGACTTAAGGTTCACATTGTAGTGCGGCCTGGAAAGTAAAATCATGACAGGCTATGAGTACAGTATAAATGAAGTAAAGTGGCTAGCTGCAATGCATCACATCTCAAGTAGAACTAAAACACTATGTGCCAACAAAATATGCGTTCATATAAAGTTTGTAACAATGCCATTGATATGAGGTTTTTACCAACTCAAAACTTACAAAAAACAGTGGTATGTTCAAGAGACCATGGACAAAAAGGAACATGAAGTTTACAAAAAACAGTGGCACTAGCACAACAGCATTGGTGAAACATCTGTTTGTAGCAAGGCACAAATGCCAGTGAGAGAACATTTATCCACTGAGCAGAAGTTTTAATGTGCATATATCTTTCTTTCCTTCGCACATGCAATTTTGTCAAATCTTATTCCACACTTATTAAGTGTCCAGTTCTCATATCCTTTTGTCCTTGTTAGTTGGATACTAAGCAAGTAAGCAACATGCCTAACCAATGGTTATCACTTGTCAGAATTAGCTCAGCAGTTGGCTATCTTGTGAGGGTTCTGGTGAAATAGTAACACGTCAGTTGCCCACCATTTTTTTATCGAACTCGCAGTAAGTTGCCCACCATTTGATAGAAATAGAACAAGTACAGCAACAACAGGTCTTTAGGGTTGAGAGTGCGATGGTTTCATTTTTTTATTTTGTTTGAGGTTCATGTTCCAATCCTAGTGAACTGGCGACTTAGTGATTAATCAAAGTTAACAGCTATGAACAATTAGCAAAAACATTATATGACCAGTGAAACTGAAATGTGGTTCACCCATGAGTGTAATGCAACCAAAAAGATAATTAGTACGACAAGGTTAACATACATACATGTCAGCTACCAATGGTGTTGTTTTCACTTTTGGCTGAACCACATTTCCAATAGCAAAAATTCCACCACCTTTTATGGTATCCAAGCAATGAGCAAATATCTTCTTCACTTTACCAGCAGAAGCTAGCTGTGATAACATTGACGTATTTGCCTGACCAAAACCAAGAATTCCATCAAGGGCTTGGTTTGAGCTTCCCAAATCCCCACCTTGCTGAGCACCACACCTACAAAGGAAAGAAGAATCATGTATCCCCACTTAACACTTCAGCACTATTAACAAATGCTAATCGTTAATGCTTGTTTCCTACTCAGTTCTTCTATTGCAATATGATAAAGAGCGTGGGATGCATAGTAAAACCCACAGCAGGGTTAATGCTTTCTCTTTTACCTATCGTTTCAATGAAGTAATAGCACAAGGACATAGCCTGGACAAAGGGCCAAGAATACAACTTCATTATCTCATACTGGGATAAAAAAATCTTATCCTAATAAGAGAACATGAACTATCATTGTGGCGATGGTCAAGGATCATGCTAATCTTTTCAGGAAACAAAATAGCCCATCATGAATGTTGTCCAACAAAAAAAGATTGCAATGTGATAAACTGACATGACCTGACTCACCCGAACGTGACACTGGCATTGCCCGGCTGTGTCTGCCCATCCCCAGTCACCTGATCAAACTGCAGCGCATCAGTGACGAAGAACCCAGTAGTAGAGCTACCATCACCGTACATGACGCTGTACTCGCAGGGCACGTTGGCACTGCACCCCGGCAGCTTTCCCCCATAGGTGGCCGCGCAGAATCCCTGATCGCAGGACACCGTGCTCCCGCTCGAGGACGCCTTGGGGTCATAGAACGTCAAGTCTAACTGCACAAAGATTTCACATCAAAATGGACACAACTGAACCAATATGTAGTTCAGACACAAACAAGAAATATAAAGTGGGAAACGGTACCCCGAGTCCGCTCTCGCGGGGGCATTTTTCGCAGGAGATGCAGTTAACCCAGAGGATGTCGCTGCCAGTGTCGACCTGGACGTAGTAGCGCTTGGGCGGCGTCCCGAGCTTGATCTCCGTGAAGTAGAGCCTGTGCGCGCCCGGACCAGTGCAATAATCCCCACTACCAAATCAAGCAGCCCACAGGGAAATCCCAAAATAAAGAAGCTAGCAAGGGCCGGCACGTACCCGGTGTCAGTGGGGAGGCCGAGACCGCCGAGCGGGAGGTCGGCAGCTGCGAGAAGGCGGCCGTGGCGGCGACCGTCATGGACACGAAGGGCGCTGATGTTGGCGCCGGAGTCCCCTCCAACTCCGGCGGGAAACTTGCGGCGCACCTGGAAGACGCTGCCAGCCACAGCACCGGGGGCGGAGCTGGCGGCCAGCAGCAGCGCGGCTAGGAGGAGGGCGGCAAGCCGAGGCGGAGGCGGGGCCATGGATTATTCGTGGGTAGCAGACGGCAATTCGAAAGGCGCCTGCACGCAGGGTAGCAAGTAGCAACAATAATAATTGCGGGAGCGGTCGGGCTTCGGGCGGCGGGAGGCCGGCTACTTTTCGTGTCCTCCCCCGCTGGCCGCTGCTCCTCCTCCTCGCCGCGGCCTCCGAGCCTCGGAGCGGGGGGCGTTTGAGTGAGGACTGAGGACAAGCAAGGCACCGGAAAACGGGGAGGAAAGCTGGTCGGCGGACAGCTAGTGGGGAGTGGGGACGGCCATCATACCTCGGGCCGGGCGGGTTTCTGTTTCGGGTTGGGCTGTGGAGAACCTGGGGAAAAAATCTCAGCCCGAGGCCTTGAGACCTGAGCCTGCCCGTGGGCCCGATACGACTCAAAAAGCCTGCCCGTGGCCCGACCCAACGACCTGGTTGACCCGATGGGCCATAGGGATGCTGTGCTCCCCGAGCTTGCGGTGGACTGGTGGGCTGGCTCGCCGCTGTCATCGTCGTGAAGAATCACTCGTCCGTCCCCAGTCATCCGTCACCGCCTCCCTCGAAACCCTACGCCGCAAGCAAAACTCTGCTCCTCGCTTAAACCCGCGAGCCCCCGGCCCCGGATGTTGTTCCGCTTCCGCCCGCCCCCCTCGTAGCCACCGCCTCCGTTAGCGCCGCCACCCCACCTCGCCGGCGGCCATGGCGACCCCGTCTTACGCGGCGGTGAAGTGCCTCAACACGTCCTCGTCCAGCCGCAAGCGCTTCTCGGTACGCCTCTTCTCCGACTGCTGTTTCGCTGACACCGAATCCAGCTCGCGGAAAAGTTTTTTTTTGGATGCTAATGGGCTCTGTGTTTCCTTCTGCAGTTCAAGAGCTTCTCTCAGCGGGTGGAGGAGATCGACATCGATGTGTACCGCAGCCTCCGCACGCTGAAGGCGGAACCGTCCAGCGGATCGTCCTTCTTTTTCGACGCAATTGTGGAGTGGAGGGTATGCGACCTTTTCTTTTCTTGCTTCGTTTATTCCAATCTTTGATATCCTTAAATCCACTTTGGAAGTAACAAGGGAGCTTAATTTGGTGCTTAGAGCATCAGAAAGAGTTTAATTGCCTTAATCATTGTTTGCTGTGCTGTCCTGTGTGCTATATTGTGTAATCTAGTTAGGATTACATCCAAGAAAATGGAAACAACATATTCTAAAATTCCACTCAGCATGAAATGGACCTTAGTTCCATCTAATTTGCTTATTTTTTCTTATTGAAGAATTAACAGAGTTCAAGGTTGTTCACAAACTGCACAAGTACAAACTTTTGCTTTAGTAACTCTATCTAATAGAAGCATAGAAAACCTAAAACTTTTAACCGCTCCTGGGTTGCCATGCTTAAACTGCATCATACCTAATCACCTTTCTGGCCAATGCCTGCGCCGTGTCTTGGCCCAACACTATGCATGGTTGAGTAGTTGAGTGAGTGCAACACTCTTGACTCGAATACCACCATTGGATTGCTCCCACCATCGTACTCACTTAGCATAACCTGCTACTGACAAATCACACCACCATATATGTCTTCACTTTATACTTGCACTTGGCGTCTAAGTGTGTTACAGTTCGATCAACTTCTGTGGCTACCATCATGTTTGATGCATCGCACAGAGGTGCCAATATGGAAAAGGGCAATGAACTCAATCATATTGTTAATTTCTAGCCAATAGATTAGTCTCCCAGCTGTCATCAATGTACTCCCTCTGTCCCAAAAAGAGTGCACATCCCACTTTTCGAGGGGTCAACCAATCTCAAGTTTGACTAAATATATGCAAAAAAAGGTACTAACATTTATGTTATCGAATAAGCATTATTAGATTAACCATGCAATGTGTATTTCATAAGAAACTTATTTGGAGATACGAACGTTGATAATATTTTCTTTAAATCTAGTCAAACTTGAAATTAATTGACTCCTCGGAAAGCGAGATGTGCATTCTTAGAGGGACATAGGGAGTATGAAGTTGCAGCAGGTTCCTTTCCATGGTCCTTTTAATTGCTTTATAGAGTTATATAAATATGCCAACCCTTACTCCAGAGTCGATGGTAATATGATCATAAATGGTGCGATATGAGGCTCGACATTGGGCCAAGGGTGTGATGGTGCTGAAGGTCCAACACATGCACCAGCGCAACTCTCTGTCTTGTGATGGAGTTAAGAGCATGATATAGGCTGAGCAGTTTCAGCAGATGCATGAAGTGGGTTGTGTGGGGGCATATCTGGAAGGAGTTTTGAGTAAAATCGTTGCTAGTTTTCTGGTGCCGAAAGATGCACTAGCAGGTCTTGCCTAGGATAGTGATGGAAGTTAGCGCTTGAAGTAGACCAAGCACAACGGCAGAGGCATGGCTTGTGCCCAGCATGAGCGCATCTAGAAGGGTTTTTTGATTAAATCTAGGCCATGTGGGTACTTGGTTCTTTCTATTGCAAATAGATTAGTTATAGTTATAGGCAATTATTTAACACTTGTTTGTTTTGTTCCTTTTCTTATGTGAATCCAGGAGCTCAATACTGCAGAGGATTTCATCTCATTTTATGAGGAGATGATACCATTGGTACAGACACTGCCTCAAATTGTCTTGCACCGTGAAAAGCTCTTTTCCGCACTTGTACAAAGGGTAAACATGAGTGCAAGATTGTCCCTGGAGCCAATACTCATGTAAGCATATCACAGATTCATGCACTTAGTTGAAGTGTGATGACTTCAACTCTTCTTTGTATGGTACTAAATGTATTATATGCTGTCATTGCCTTTCCTTATTTGTCTGACCTACATATGCGAATGATGCATGATTACTCAAGTTTGGGGTTTGTGTAACAATTTTGAAAAACTATCTGTACAATATAATAAGAATAAAAATTGGAAATGAAGTCAAGTTTGTCATTCTTCATATGTGATCATCTGACAAAACTTGCTGTGCAGTAGATTGTTCTGTTGGGCTGTAAATGGAACCTGCCTATGTCTGTACTTAGTTGTAGATGTTTTGTTATATCTTTGTTGGAATGGCTACTGGATCAGCATATAACCTTTAAGCAACCTTAATACTAGGTGATCCCATATTTTATTGCTCTCGACAATTGTTTTTTGTGTAAGGAGACACGGGGAGTTGAAGAGCCTCAGTTTATTGTCTGACCCTTGGTTGCACACATGCCCTATTTTCTGTGTTGTTCTATTGTAACTACTCAGCTTAATTTTGCCTATTGCAATCCTTTGTTTGAATTAAATGTACTTCTATCGAGTAATGGGCTCCAGTACGCTGTAGGATCAGAATTTCAGTTTCACTAGGTCACTAGTGGAATCCTACTTTATGTTTAATATTCAATAGCTCATGTTTGGTTTGTGATGATTTAACAACTATTGGATGTCTAACTGATTTCTTTTTGACATGCAGGTTGATTGCAGCTCTCTCCAGGGATATTCTAGAAGATTTTTTGCCGTGAGTTTCGGAGCTCCAATTCAATAAGTTACTATAAGGCTACTCAGCATGGTTGTTAGTCTGTAGCATTATAGTGTTGTGTAGGCCCTGGTCTTTATGGCTTGCTTGTTTTGTTTTTTGTTATCTCAAAGATGATTACCTTGATCTATTTTTCCCTAATGACCTAAATTAAATCAACCTAAAAGGATTATAATCTCTAATAGTTGTCTGAGACTTTATTTCATACAGAACGAGAGGTTTCAGAGGCCCTTATCCTCGTTAGTTACGCTTGACCTTCTTTTCTATTTTTTATTGATTACAGCTTTTTAGGAAGACATGCTAGTGCCCTTTTAGCTCTCCTTAATGATGGAGGTGATCGTGACCCCGAAATCCTGGAGCAGGTTGGTCTGCTTATTGTGATTCATAAGTCTTGCTTGCAGTTAAGTAGCAGAAGTCATATGTAATGTTGTATTTCAGGTCTTCACATCCTGGTCGTATATAATGATGTACTTGCAAAAGTATCTAGTGAAAGATACTGTCCAAATTCTTAGGTGAGTTTGCATCTTCAAAAATGAGGCCTATGTATGCTATTGGCTCAAACCTTGTTTAATGGCCTTTGGCCCCATGATTAGATAAACCAGTTGCATTTGTTGTTATCCAAAATAAAATCAGTTGCATTTGTTGATAATTTGATATCCAAATTCAGCTATCTAACTGACTGCCAAGTCTTTATCATTGTTGAAGGACCACAGCAGCGTTGAGATATTCCCCAAAGGACTATGTTAGAGAATTTATGGCAGAATCTGTATCATTTTTGTTGAGGAATGCACCTAATAATCAGCTAACGCAAGGTATTTTTCTTTTCTCACTTATGTTCTTTTACTGGATATATATCATGTTTCTGAAAAGTATGGGTCTTTTTTGTTTTCCTCAACTTTTGGTGTTGGTTTCAATAATGCTATGGAGCCACTAGCTTTTCATATTTAGTTCAAAATTAACCATTGTGGTATCTGGCTGTGGGCTCAACTTAAACACTATCTCCATTGTGAATTGCTCAAAGATATGACATAGTTTTTGTGGAAGTATTCATTCTAGCCAAGCCTGAAACTGAGGTCTCAGAGGACCAACTGAAAGTTGTGGGAGTAAAGTAATAGATAAAGATGGAGACTTAAAGGGCATCTCCATTTTTTTCATTTAAAAAAATTCTACTAAATTGGTTCCTTTCTGTGTTTTTTTTTCTGTCTGGCCTGTTATCTATTCTTGATTGGAAGATGAGTTTGATGAGGCACACTGCTTACACTGTGGTTCAGTTTCAAATCATTTCTATAATGAGGTTTACTAATTTTCTGACTTCAAATATTGAAAAAAGGCAGATTTCCCACTACATTCAAGTGCTTTTGATGATTTGCTCTCAGTTATCTCACTTAGGCCCCAGGACACACATCCATTCAAGTACTAATGAATGGAGTTTTAACTGCACAGATTGGTGTTTTCCTTTTTTCCACTGGCTTCCTATCTTTTGCAACTATGCAATGCTTTCTGTTTGCTGAGGCAGAAACCTCTTAACATAGGGAGAATGGGTTTTCCATATAAAGTTGTGTTGTGTAGCTTCATCACTACTCCCTTCGTTCCAAATTGTAAGTTGTTTTGGCTTTTCTAGGTACATAGCTTTTGCTACACACCTAGATATACATTATGTCTAGTTGCATACTAGAAGCTATGTATCTAGAAAAGCCGGAACAGCTTACAATTTGGAACGGAGGGAGTACTGGTACTAAAGAGTTTAGGCTGAGCTACCAACAATGGTAGTGGGCAGCTAGGCTGTCATGCTTGTATAAATGAGGTAGCTAATTTATTTTAACTTGCATTTTTCTTGATTGGTCCTTAGGTCTACTGAAAGTTCTACGTGAGGCTGCTAAACAACCATCACCTACACGGATAGACGGGGTGGTCTCTTTGCTGTGGCATGTCATGAAAGGAACTTCCACAAAGCTACACTCAAAAGCTGGGCAGGTCTTGAAGTTCTTGTTGAGCAAGTCAGTTGTTTCCACTCTCCCTGATAAATTCCCTGATGGTGAGATAACTTTCTGCGAATGACACTTAATATTTGTGATTTTTTTTTTGCATTGCCCTTATGTTCCATATGTTCTACCTATTGCTTGTTTTCATTGGGCCACCTCATTATCAATTTGGTTTAGCTAGTTTGATCAGTGCCTCATTATTTTAATTCATAAGTGACTTTTTTAGCCTCCATGTTTTATCTATTCCATGATGGCCAGATGACTTTCTGCCAAATTCCCAATGACATTTACTATTGTGATTTTCTTAATGTTAGTTGCACTGCCCTTATATTTCATTTGTTCCATCATTGCTTGTGTTCTTTGGCTCACCTCGTCATGTATCACCATTTAGTTGAATTCATCAGTGCCCCGTCATAATTCATAAGTGAGTTTTTAGGCGTCTGTTATGACCGGTGTCCAGTACGTCAGGCGCCGGCGCACAAGTGGCTAGGAGGCCGGCGCATAGGGGCTATGAAGCGCCTGGATTAGATGGGCTAATGGCCCAGTTATCTTTATTTGCTATTTCCCTCAATAGGATATTTATTTGTTAAAATAGGATTTTATAGAGAGGCTATATATTTATTTGCTATTTCCCTCAATAGGATATTTATTTGTTAAAATAGGATATTTATTTGCTATTTCCCTCAATAGGATATTTATCTTGTAAACAATTATTGGAGAATTAAGCAAGGCAAATATTCTTGCCTGGCCTCAAGGCCATCTCTTGACATCTACTCGTGACCCTGCCTCCCTCCGTTGCCTTCTTGAGGACGCCTCCTCCACGGGCACGGCCGAGGTCGGAGGCGACGGCGCCTCATTGATGAGCTCCAAGCACGCGGTCCATAGAACCTTGGCCTCCTGCTCAAGCCACCCACTCGCCCACTTGGTACTTGACGTCAGTGACCCCGTCATAGTACTTCTTCTCCGACCTCGAGCCCTCAAGTCGACCTCCGATCTTCTCCATCCCTAGCCACAGCTGTCCCCGGCTTATAGGGCCGTATGGAGGGAGGATCAGCAGTTGATCCGAAATGGCGGTCACGTGAAGATCAAGACGTAGGATCCTATCAATCTGGTATCGGCGATGTCGTGGAGTTCCAATGCTTTGCTCCGGCGGGTGGGCGACGGTGGGCGCTTGAAGACCCAGCATAGGCGTGGCACACCGTGGAGGCGGACAATCTCCCGAAGAACGCTGAGCCACCGACTCCGCCGAGTATGGGTGCGCCAGCGGAATAAAGTGGCGATATTCTTTGAACACATGTCCACCACCGCCGGGATTACGCTTGCCCGTTCAACGCCACGCCACGTCCGCGCCTTGCGAATCGGAAGAGCTAGTCCCTTCCTTGTGGCGCCCGGCGGTCGCGCCATCACCAAGGCCCTCGCTGAGATCGCTCAGCAGCTGGCCCATCCATCAACCACCACCGGTGGGCGCTTGCCAAGCACCGCTCTCGTCCCGAGGGCGCCGTAAGCGCGGTCATTGTGGCCGGCGTCCATGCACTCGTCCGGTGTGTCAAGGCGGAAGAGCATCCGCCACCACATTGGTCGACCCGGCATCAATCGCGTCTTCATCGGCGGCGACCATATGCCCCGCCAGGTTTCCCCTACGGGATGCCAGGCTTGGAGAAGTCTGCGGCATGGCGAGGCGGAACAGCGCTGCGAACGCTCTGTCCACTTTCTCCACCACCACCGCCATACCCGCAGCCACCGCGCCATCGCTACCGAGGCGTGGCCTCGCATACCACACCCCCACTTCCATGATGCCCCCGCTTGAGGAACAAATGATGGCGTCCGAAGCTCCTCGAGGGCGATGCGGAACCCCATCCACCGGAGTTCCCATCCACTTGCTCAAATTTCCACCCTCACCATCGCCTCTGCCCAATTTTTTGTGGATGTCCTCGCGCTTGGTGGTAGCTGGCGCAAGTCGAGCTTGGTGAAGAATTTTCCCACCGGGCTACTACTACCACCGGAATGGGGAACGATCCTTGATGGTGGCGCGCCGCCGCCCCACTCCATCCCCTTGACGAGGAGTACCGCCATCTCGGGGACAATTGGGAACCCCGCTTGCTCAGTTAAAGCTCGACTTCACCTCCTATGATGGCTCGGAGGATCCCCTGAATTGGCTCACCCATTGCGAGCAATTCTTTCGAGGGCAGCGCACTCTTGCCTCGGATCGTGTCTGGCTCGCGTCCTACCATCTGCGTGGCGCCGCACAGACGTGGTACTACGCCCTGGAGCAAGATGAGAGTGTACCTTCATGGGAGCGTTTCAAGGATCTCTGTCATCTACGCCGCGCCAGCGGGCGCCATTCGCGCAACCGCCTACTTTTCATCACGCTTAAGCACAACCGCCTCTCGAAGTTTGCGCGGTTGCCCTTCCCGGACCACCCGTGGAAGATTACCAGAGCGTTTTATGCGCTTGGCGGTCTTATCAAGCTCATCAACCCAACTCATGGCCCGGAGCCGTGCGAACGGCGTGGCTCAACGGAGGTGAGAGACGCGGCGGCGGACTTGTTCGTGGGGGGCCTTCCGGAGCACATCCGCGTCGACGTCAAACTCCGGGCTCCCCAGGACTTGTAGACGGCGATGCACTGCTCGGAGCTCGACTTGCCGTCGAAACGAGGCCATCTTCCGGAATTTGCCGGCCATGAGGATGCTCCACTGTTGCCGCCGCCTGCAGCGCTGCTTCAGCGCCATCTCAGCGCCAGCCCGTCTGGCGCTGCCCATGCTCCGCCATGGTGGTGGAGTGGCCAAGTGGTGGAGGCCGGGCGGGGTGTGCGGAAGACGAGGATGTCCCAGGGGCGCCGATCTGGGGCCTCGACCGCAGCGTAGCAGCAGCAGCAGCCCAGCAACAGCCAACTTAATCCCCCGATGTGGGCATGGTGCTAAACCCAACAAGGTAAAGACTAAACCAAATAAGGTAAAATAAGAGCCACTGTCGGCCTGGCGCGTCATGGCTCTCCTGCGCTCGGTACAGAGTGGCTAGGAGGCCGACCACCGCTGCATACCACAGGGGATGCCCGAGGCGCCTGGATTAGATGGGCTAATGGCTCAGTTATCTTTATTTGCTATTTCCCTCAATAGGATATTTGTTTGTTAAAATAGGATTTTATAGAGAGGCTATATATATATCTGTAAACAATTATTGGAGAATTAAGCAAGGCAAATATTCTTGCCTGGCCTCAAGGGCCATCTACCGTGACCCCTGCCTCCCTCACGTTGCCTTCCTCCTCCAGAACGCCTAGGGCAGCCGCCGCCGCCTCCCTGCTCAAGCCACGGCGCCCCAGCGCCGTCACCCTCGCCCCCGACCTCCGATCTCCTATCCCTACGCTCTTCGCAGCCGCGGTAGGATCAAGGATCCTATCACGTCTCCATGTTTCAGAACCACAATGCAAGACCTAACATCGCTTTTTGTGCATAATCATGTCAGGAAAAATCTGTTTTGAAAGCTGCTCTTTTTTACACTTCTTTCTGTTCTTCAATAATAATCACTGCATAGTACAAAATGCAGGGTCTTCTACTATTCATGAGGTCATGACAGGGCTGATTCAAAGATTATGCGATGAAGTGGATCCAAAAGAATTACCATTGATGTATACTTGTTTATTTGAAGAAATCAACTGCTGTCTTAAGGATGGCTGTTTGGAGCATTTGAAGTGCTTGATTGATTTTCTTGCATTTGCTTTACAGAAGAAGCAAAGCAATGTATTCGGTCAGATTTACCAGTCTGATTTACCAATTCGTTGTCGATATTCTTTCACTGCTTGAATTCATTGTTAGTAAAGATTAGATGATTAGTAGATTCTTCTCTATTTTGCCAGATAAGGTGAAGTTGATTAAACTTGTTGAGTTGCTGGTTAGTAGATATGTGTTGCCTGGAAGCAACATAACAGAAGCTTCTTCATCTGAGGTTCTTGGAAGTATTCTTGACTTTCTGCTTTCTGTTCTGGATGTTCCAACCATTTCTGGCAATTTGTCCATCGTATCACCTTTCTATGCTCCAGTGTTCAAATTAACAAATCCGAGGTAAATTTTCTCTTGCTGATGGTGTTTGTTTACTTTGTTAACTCCTGGACATTTTGCTTCTCACGAAATGGTAGTGATCTAGCACCTAACACCGATTTCAACTCTGTATCCAGTGTGATTGTCTTTATAAAGAAACTTTTGGCGACAGGTCCTCAAGTTACACAACATTTTGAAAGTCAGATATTGAGGTATGTAATATATTTTCTTATATTCCTTAAAAAAATGTTATGTCTATTCACGATTCGCACACAAAAGATTTGACCATGCAATTTTATGCCTTGTAGTGCAATGGATAATTTCATTGCAAGTTCACTCGAGGATGTTATCTTTATCCTTCACAATTTCTTTAAAGGATCAAAGAAGCAAATATTTCTTCGTAGCACTGATGGAAATCATCTGGATTCAGTGGAGAAAACTTACAAGTTCTTTGAATCAAAATTTTCTTTCTGGATAGAGTTATTAGATGATACAGTCGGCACTGGTAATCGATCTAGTAATAATCAGGTCAGTGAAAAGGAAGCTGCTATACTGTGGGGATCTATTTGCTGCTATCCTAACATGAAAGGTGTACATCAAGATAGTTTGTCACTGCTGAGGAAGTTAATCTTCAACTTTGATCGGTTGCTTGAAGTGGGAGAAGGTGATTTTACTTGAAGATTTCTTTATCCTAATATCACCGTCGTTGGTCTTTCTAAAAGGCATAAATTCAAATGATTGACATGCAGAGAACATGAATGGTCTTCCAATGACTACCTGGAGAAGTCTACTTGGTGCAGCATTGTCATCGTACCACGAATTATTGCTGGTCAACACCAGCAGAAATTCAGAATTTAGTTTTTTCATATCGCTTGCCAAGAGTCACAGTACATGCCCACAAGTACTGTCTGCTGTAGCTGAATATTTGGATTCCCTGCAAGGGTAAAGCTACATATACTTTTTACCCTTCACTTTATCATTTGTTTCCTTAATTTATTTGATTAAGGCAATTCTTCATTTTTTTCTGTATGCTTCTGTGAGCAGACTACCATCCCTGGAAGTGACAAAAGAATTTGATCCACAAAATCTCTTGGATCTGTTCTCCATCTTTGCTGTCAATTTGAGCAGTCCAAGCAAGGATGTTCGAATTTTAACCTTGAGGATTCTATCATATTTTGTGAAGATGGATCAACGTCTAATCACAGATGAGGAGCGACCACACAAGAGGCAGAGAACAGAAGTTTCTGGAGAGGAAGCTGTTGCTAAATATGCTAATGTATGTCTTGTGAACTAATACTTTTATTTGCTATTTTCCTGGCATTGCTCTAATGTTTACTTGAAATCAGGTTGTGGATGCTCTTTTGATTATTGAGTTGACACCAATTTCAGTATCTACTAGCCGTAAAATTGCTATCTTCATTTCTCGGATACAAATGAGTTTATCTTCCAAGATGGTTCATGATGATTACTTACCTCCTCTCTTACATGGTATTATTGGCATATTGTACAATAGATTTAGTGATCTGTGGCCACCAACACTGGATTGCCTTGCTGTCCTCATTAGACAACACAAGGAGCTTGTTTGGGGTCAGTTTGTTCAGTTTATTGCAATTCACCAATCAAAAGGACTGACTGTGAAAAATAAGGAGAAGCTGGAAGCTGCAACCCAACCACAGTGTATGTATCAGTCGTTTATCTAATGTACTTTTTGTAAGATAATCTGCTGCATTCTCCTGATCTTTTGCTACAGCAGGGGTTAGGCAATAGGTCAACTCTGCTGTCCTCTATCTACTGTAGTAGTATGGCAGTAGTGCCAAGTAGTGGCTGATCTCAGCCCAATATTAGATAGCTGTAGCAAGTAGTGGCTATAAAGTGTGGTTCTAGTGTACCTTGTAGGTGGTAGCTAAGAGTTGTATATATCCAGTTTGCTTGGCAATGAAAGGGCAGTTCAGTTCAGCAGCATTTGCACTTGTGCTCGTGTGTGCTCTCTTCTCGCCCTTCTCTTCTTCCTCTAGCCCAAAATCCAGTGTGTGTGAGAGAGAGTGAGCTGCTGCTCACCTGTGCAGGGCTGCTAGCTGCCAACACTTTTGTCATTGTTCTTCTAGAAACCCACACATTAGACAATCCAGAGCCTCTAGTAACCGTTTGTATATGTCTTCATTCTTTACATGCACACATCTGTGCTTTGAGTTGCCCTTTTCATGTCCTTTGCTGCTGTGTGGTCATATTCCTAATTCTGCTCAGAAGTTCTTGACACTTTATTGGGATTTTGTATCGTATTTCAAATGGTGCATTTGCAGGCTGTGTAGATGTATATTATTGTCAAATTATTGTCAGATCTGGCAGATAAGCTGTGATTTTGATGACAAAGTTCTGATGTGATATGCTTTTAGTTACACCTGATGGTACCATCTGAGGATACTGGAGTCTTATCTTACCTTTTGAATTATCTACCTGTGCTGACTTTCTAACTTAGTGTTTTGCATGCTTCTACATTAACAAATTAACAATAGTTCCTTCTGTTCAACTTGGTTTACATAATGAAAAATTAATTTGTTGGTTTTCACATATTTGTGATTTACTTGTAATTGGCCTACAAAAATCCTTTTTGTAAAATGCTTAGTAGTAATTATGGAAAGCAACCGATTTGAAGCAGTAAGAGTCAATGATGTATCTTTACAATCTTTCTGATATTATTGAGTATTCTTGTATCCATTCTCCTTTGGCTCTGTTTATTCTTTTTGTACTGCTGTTTCTTACTCCATGTTTGGTATTGCAGCTATTTTTGACTGCTTCAACTTGTATCTTGCTATGGACTTTGATTGCACACCAGCTGAGACCATGGCTACCTTATTGCTTCAATCGCTCCAAAGGATTCCTGATGTTGCTGAATCCCGATCTCGACATCTTATACCGCTATTTCTCAACTTTATGGGTTATGATGATGGCAGCATCTTTAGGTATTTAGATGACAAACTATCTTATTTCTACAATTTTGACTTTTGGAAGTCCGATCCTTATTGATACCTTTTTTGAACTGACTTCTGCAGCGCTGATTCATATATGCCTGAAAAATGTAAAGGCAAACAATGGAAAACGATTCTAAAAGAATGGTTAAACTTATTGAGGTTAATGCACAATGCAAGATCATTATATCAGAGCAAATTTCTCCAGGAAGTGCTAACTAAAAGGTCTGCGAATAAATAGTTATATATGTGCTGCTGCGGCCTGCAGATGAATTAATGTGTTTTGTGTGTTATAAATTGTGTTTTGATTGTTTGTTCCCAGGGTTCTTGATGAAAGTGATCCTGACATACAAGCAAAAGCATTGGATTGCCTTTTGAACTGGAAGGATGAATTCTTGACCCCGTACAGTCAAAATCTTAAAAATCTGATTGACGTAAAGACTCTTCGTGAAGAGCTGACCACATGGGCAGTTTCACATGACTCCTCGTCAATTCTGAAAGACCATAGAAGTCGTGTGGTTCCTCTGGTTATCCGTGTGTTGGCACCGAAAGTAAGGAAGCTGAAGCTACTTGGTTCTCGAAAGGTTTGTGTTTGCTTACTGCTTATCTATCAACAATAATGGTATTTGTAATTTTTCATTTGCTTTGTGTTTGACCTCGTCATTATTTTTTTGCATTCTGCCAGCACACAGGTGTCAGTCATCGAAAGGCAATTCTTCGTTTCCTTTTGCAGTTTGATTCAAATGAACTTGAGCTCTTTTTCTCATTACTTCTGAGGTCCTTGATCCCTGGCAGCCTCCAGCTTAAAATGTTTGGTTCTCAGTCTGACAACCTACTTGGAAATTTCACTGACATTGTTGGAACTTCAACAGAAATTTGTGTAGAGAACTTTACATGGAAAAAGGCAAATGGTTTCATTCATCTGGTTGAAGAAATTTTTGGTACTTTTGATATGGCACATATAAGCCCATTTCTTAATGTTTTATTAATCATTGTCGCTCGCTTGCTGGAGAGTTGCATGCGGAATCTTAGAAGTGAGAGTGATGGGAAATATCCTTGCAACCAATCAAATGACCATGATAATGATTGTTCCATAAATTCTGAAGTGGGCAATTCTGTAAACGTGGATGAATGCCGTAAAGAAATGCATCTAGGAGACCATATGGAGGTGCGCCATATTATCACCTTTACGGATGCTCTTATCTTTCAGTTTACTCTAGTACCATGTGTGACATCTTTTGCTGAACTCCCAAAGTAGCTTTGTGTTACTCTGGTAATCAAGCTCAGAATGCCAAATTACTGAAATAACTAGGATCTGAAGATATTATAGGGAAGAACTAGTTACATATAGCAAATCAAGTAGATGGTTCTATCAAATTCTTACTTCAAGTACTTCTTATTTGTAAGCTTGTGTCATTATTTCTTATCATGAAGCTACTATGCATTTTATTTGCCAAATGTTTATGTCTTCTCTTAACTAATTGCTACAGCAACCTCACTCTGTCATGCAGACAAGTGTATCCATCAAGCAGTTGAAGGATTTGAGGTCTTCATGTATTAGAATTGTCTCGTCAGCCCTTAGTCACTATGAAAGCCATGAGTTTGGAGAAAACTTCTGGGGTATTTTTTTCTCTTCTGTGAAACCTCTGATAGACTGCTTTACACAAGAGGCTTCCAGTAGTGAGAAACCAAGTTCATTATTTGCTTGTTTTATGGCTATGAGTCGGAGCCCAAAATTAGCACCACTGTTGGGGTCGAATAATCTTGTACCAGCTATTTTTTCTATTTTAACTGTGAAGACAGCGTCAGGATCCATCACCACCTATGCCCTTGAGTTCATTGAGAATCTGTTGAGGTTGGATATTGATTTGCAGCAGCAAGATGACCATTCAGTGAAGAAAGTTCTTCCACATATGGATGTTCTTATCCATAGTCTCCATGATTTTGTTAATCATCGCAAAGAGCTTAACAGGTTAGTCACGCCATTACTATAGTAATACTACTGTGCAGAATGCAAAACCTTGACCACTTCAATATACTAAAATACTTACTCTTTTTCACTGTATTTGTTCATGGCATCGGGGGGATATGATTCAGTATATCTGTCCATTGAAGAAATCAGAAGTATAGTTATTGTGATGTTTCACAGTCTACCCCCAATTAAATGCCTTGAAGGAGGAAGATTAGTTGTAGCATGCTATTTAATTGGGTTATGGATGGTGATTTCACACTGGGTTTTCTTTGAACTATTTTCTTGGTTAGTGCGCATTTTTTGGGCTATGGACAAGCATAGTTTATCAAATGAGAGTGATCGTAAAAAATACCAATATGTCAGTCATTTAATTTATTTTGTCCATTCATAGAAAATGTAATTTTTAGAGTTGTGGATCTAAGACTGTCTATATCCTATAAATCAACAAATGAATCATAGCTTCCGTAAAAAAAGAATCATACCGTAGACATTCACTTTCTATAATGTTTTGTTCATCTATTATGGTGGTTAAACATCTCTTATGAGAGACTCAAGACTTCAATGTCATTGTTTAGATGTCTCTGTTTTGTCAAGCAAGTGTATAAATTTTCTTAAGACTCTTCATTGCTTGGGTCGTATCCTCTCTTTAAAACTTCTGTTCCACGTTGCATCGCATTAATATCTTCGGGCATGTTTACAGCACATTTGGGAGCATATGCATGTGACTTAATAATCTTGACTTAATTTCCTGCATTTTTAATATATACAGGAGATCTGGTACATGGCTTGGGCAACGCGAACTTAGGCTGTTCAAATTATTGCTAAATTACATCACAGATCGCTCAGCTGCTGATAATTTCATAGACCTTATTCTTCCATTTTTCAGTAAGAAAGACTTGAACTCCGGTAAGCCTTTTATGGAGTAAATTTTGTGTGCACATTAGCCTGCATATCGAATGATTGTTTTTTTTTAATTTGCAAATGCCCAACCTTGACATGGTCTGCCCTATTTGTCTCGTCTTTTATATCGCAGATGATTGTTTGGAAGCACTATGTGTTGTGAGGGGAATAATTCAAAATCTGAGATGCAAGGTATCTGTAAAAGTTCTAAATGCACTGAACCCATTACTTGCGACTGTCGGATTGGAACTGCGGCTATGTATCTGTGATATTTATGATGGGTTGTCATTACATGATCCTTCAATGTTGTTTCTGGTAACTATCGCTATTTGTGATGTCAATTATGTCCACTTTGCCATGTTGCTTGTTCCTGTTTCACAGTTTCTTGTGGTAATTTGCATTTTTGACAGGCTGGGTTAATACGAGATCTGAATGCAGTTTCAGCTTCAGAACTTGGTGAACTAGATTATGACACAAGACTTAACACCTATGACAAGGTTAGGCCACAGTTGTTTCTTGGCTTGACAGAAGAGCATGTGGGCGCCATATTATCTCATTGTGTGTATGATATGTCATCTGAAGAGTTGATTTTGCGGCAAAGTGCATCGAGGGCTCTGCAGTCATTCCTGGATTTTTCTGCCTCAGTTATGAATAATGATGTGTCCAAATACTCTATTGATGATAAATCTAGAGAGATTAATACCAGAAGCATTTGCACGATGGGCTGTATTCAGAAGATATTTGAAAAAACTTATCTGCACAATATGGGAGTAGCAATGACTAAAGATATATCAATTCAAAAGGTGCGTATATATTTATTATTTTTTAGTTTGTAGTCTATCAAATTATTGGTTGAAGGGCTGAAAATGATGTTGTATTCAGGAATGGATTATTTTACTTAGGGAGATGGTCTCCAATTTTAATCATTTAGCATCCTTAAGCTCATTTAGGCCTCTCTGTAAGGAGGATATGGAAGAGGATTTTTTCCACAACATAACTCATTTGCAGGTAAATGTGCTTGATTCAGTTATAACAAAGACCAGATAAAGGACTGTAAAACTCATTTATATTTACTAATGCAGGCTGGTAAAAGATCAAAAGCATTGTCGCTTTTCAGACAGGGAATCAAGGAAAACAACTTTTCGGAGGTAAATGATAATAGAACGCTCTAGTTGATGTCAGTGTGGTATGTGCATATTTGAAATTAAATTGCTGATAGTTGATCATTTGTTTCGGCTGTTGAATTGAAAAGCTAAGTACTTGTTTGGTGGACCTATGATGCAAGTACCAGTTTTTTTTTTTATATAAAAAAAAATAGGTACTTTGTCTCTTTGCTTTGTCAGGCTAGTATGGCTTCACAAATGTTTATATAATATTGCTGAAGAGATGTGAGCCTATTTTTTCCCTTTACCTAAGAGATTTGTGACACAGGCCAGATTTTCTTTGAAACTGTGTAACAGTGTACGGATCTTGCATCACAAGCAGCAGAAATTTGTCTTCTAAAGCAGTGCAATTCTGTCTTGCAATACTGTGTTAACAAAGGAAATCTTAATAGTTGACGACTACAGGAATGTTAATGTGTTATGGCCATCTAGTTAGTTAGCACTCAGCAGTCAGCACCTAGAAAAACGAGATGTTCAAAGAGTACATTTTCCTATAAAGAAAAACATTAATCTGTTTGTTGCTATAGTGTTTTTGTTTCCACCATTGGTTCTTGCGTTTGCAGAAAATTTACCAGCAAAGTTGATGGCCTTTTCTTTTTGTTTAGATACATTTTTTTACCTTACATAAGAAAAGCATTCTGCACATAAATCGTAACTCACCAATATCCATTTCATGCACCTGTACCTGTTGCATAACTCGATAAAGTGTCCAGTGAACTGAACTCATTATCTTCTCCCGTTTATTTTTTCATTAACATCACTTTGTGCTTTCATTTAGGATATCACTATGAAAGTCTTTGTTCCACTATTTTTCAATATGTTTTCTGACATAAAAGCTGGGAAGGGTGAACAAGTCAGAGATATATGTTTGGATACACTATCTGCTGTTGCTGCCAAAGTGCAGTGGGAACACTATAGAACAATATTGAAGAGATGCTTCCGAGAATTAAACCTTAGACCTGATAAGCAGAAGATCATATTGAGGCTGATTTGCTCCGTGTTAGATGCATTCCATTTCATGAAGCCTGCAAATGATGCCTCAGGAAATTCTGATGCTATGAGTGAAGATGCTGATTCTTCCCTTACATTCTCTTTGACTATGGTCTCTTCTGATAAGCAACAGTACCTGCAAAAGGTTGTGTTTCCACAGGTCCAAAAGTTGTTAGGATCAGATCCAGAGAAAGTCAACGTCAACATAAACCTAGTAGCACTGAAAATACTTAAGTTGTTACCGGTGGATTATTTTGAGTCACAACTTTCGAGCATCATTCATCGAATCTGTAACTTCCTCAAGAATCGTCTTGAAAGCATACGTGATGAAGCTAGGTCTGCTTTAGCTGCTTCTGTGAAGGAACTTGGGATTGGGTATTTGCAGTTTGTGGTCAAGATATTAAGAGCTATACTTAAAAGAGGTTTTGAGTTACATGTTCTGGGCTACACACTTCATTATTTATTGTCAAAAAACATTACTGCTGATATGTATGGTAGGCTTGACTACTGTTTAGAAGATCTGTTGGCAGTGGTTGACAGTGATTTACTTGGAGATGTTGCAGAACAAAAGGAAGTTGAAAAACTTGCCTCCAAAATGAAAGAGACAAAGAAGAGAATGTCATTTGAGACTCTTAAGCTGATTGCTCAAAGTATTACATTCAGGACAGATTTACTGAAGAAGATAATCTCACCTGTTTCTTTACATCTTCAGAAGCAACTTACTCCAAAGTTGAAAACCAGACTTGAGATGATGCTACACAATATAGCCTTAGGGATTGAGTGCAACCCATCTACTGAAACATCAAACTTGTTAATCTTCGTGTATTGTCTTATTGAGGATACTATTACAGGAAGTAGATCTGAATGCAAAGTGAATACACAATCTAGTCCTGATCAAGACAGTACTGTAGGAAAGACCTTCCTGGGACTAGGTGAGAGTGGATCGCAGAATTCTTATATACTTACCAAGTTTGCACTTGACTTACTTCGTAATCGTCTGAAGAGCATCAAGCTAGACAATGAAGATGAACAACTCATTAAGATGTTGGATCCTTTTGTTGACCTTTTGCGAAAGTGTATGAGTTCCAAACATGAAAGTGTTCTCTCAGTCACTTTTAGATGTTTTGCCTTATTGGTGAAACTTCCTTTGCCATCTCTCAAGGACAATGCAATTATTATAAAAAATGTACTTATGGACATTGTACAGAGAGCTGGAAACTCCAATGGTCATTTGGTCACATCTTGTTTTAAGCTACTTGCTGATCTACTTAGAGGATTCAGGATTTCACTTTCAGAGAATCAGCTTCAGATGCTTGTTCATACCCCTATGTTTGTGGATCTTCAGACAAATCCTTCCCCTGTTGCCTTATCGCTTCTCAAAACAATAGTCAGGCTAAAATTGGTTTCCCACGAAATTTATGATATGGTTGTTAAGATAGGAGAGTTGATGGTAACAACGCTAACTGAATCTATACAGCAGCAATGCATTCAAATTATGCTACAGTTTTTTCTGAACTATCCACTTTCTGAGAAGCGCTTACAGCAACATATTGACTTTTTTCTGGCAAACTTAAGGTATGATGAATATCCATGGTTACTTACCTTTAGCGTAACATCTGCACTGTATGCTAACACACTGGAAAATTGCAGTTATGAACATCCTTCAGGAAGAGAAGCAGTGCTTGAAATGCTCCATGACATTCTTACCAGATTTCCCCAGAGGATTATTGATGACCAGGGTCAAACTTTTTTTCTTCATCTTGTAGTTGCTCTAGCAAATGAACAGCATCAGAATGTGTCTTCAATGATCCTTAGAGCTATCCAAAAGCTGTTAGGACGCATTGGTGATCAGGGAAAGAGTTCCATTTTTGAGTATTCCCTTTCGTGGTACACTGGTGAAAAGAAAAGTCTATGGAGTGCTTCAGCCCAGGTTACCTTCTAGTAGCATTGCTATATTTTTCCATATACTAAAAAAAGATATATTGTATATCTTTTTTTTTAGTATATTGTGAAGGGCGGGCCTAGTGCAAGCGGTAGAGTCTTACCGCCTGTGACCGGAAGGTCCCGGGTTCGAGTTGCGGTCTCCTCGCATTGCACAGGCGAGGGTAAGGCTTGCCACTAACACCCTTCCCCAGACCCCGCACAGAGCGGGAGCTCTCTGCACTGGGTACGCCCCTTTTACTAAAAAAAGATATATTGTACATTTAGCAGTGGACTGTGTGGGTGGTTGCAATTTGCTTTTGTATTTGGGTAGTATTGAAGTACTTTACTTAGTCCCTATATGCTTATGTTTCAGAGTACTATTGTCTTTTTACATCAATTATTTGAAGTGGTTCTTGCACTTTACAGGTTATTGGTTTACTTGTTGGTGATCACACATTACAAACGGGCAAGCACCTTAAAAGTATTCTGGCTGTTGTTAAGAAAATAGTGGAATCATCTGTCATTGCTTCTGGAGCTATACAATTAGGCTTATCTGATGAAGCTGTCCTGCCATTGTGGAAAGAGGCTTACCACTCTGTTGCCATGATAGAGAGGTTACTTCTTCGCTTTCCGGAGTTGTATTTTGAGCAGAACATGGAGGTATGATTACCTTCATGCACTACTACTATATCAAATTGCAGATGTATTTTTTTTTTCTGATCTAGATCTTGCCATGTCTTTTATGTCGCCTCACCACATGCCTTAGTCACTTTAACGTAAGGCGATAGTCAGTTGCCACGCCTCGCTTTACCGCTTTGCTAACCTTGGTGTTGTCAAACAATCATATTATTCTTTTCCAGCATTCATTTTTTTGCAGCCATGTCTTTTTACCCATTTAGTGAGATTTGTACTACTAGACTTAAGTATTCAAGGCACTTATGGACCATTTACTTATTTAGTATTGGGGTCTCAGATTTATTTGTTCTTAAACATAGTATTTCTTTCAAGCCTTGAACTGGTCATATCCCTTGCAACCTCAAGTTTATGACACAGTTATAATTTGCAGGATATATGGATAATAGTGTGCAAGTTGTTGATCCATCCTCATTCGATGTTGCGTAGTATTTCAAGCTCTCTGGTAGCATCATATTTTGCTACAGCGGAGAAGAGGAAACGTGAACAGAAATTGGATGCCCCATCATGGCTGCTTGTTCAACCAAGCAGGCTATTCATAATAGCTGTTTCCTTGTTGAAACAATTGAGGACTGAACTGAGTGATACTACGGCAAACAATCTGATTGTACAGAATCTTGCATACTCGGTCTGCAACTTGCATATGTTGATTAGGCAATCGACCTCAACACCTCAGTTTTGGTCTAGCATTAGTTCTGATCGTGGTGCTTTTCTTGAGGGTTTTGAATTGCTTGGTTCAACAAAATTGAAAAATATGTTTCTCCTTTGTACTTCGACATCTAGTGATGCATCTGGATCTGGTCTTGGCATTAACGAAGGGCCTACATCTTTGTTAGTTTCGTCCATCCTAAAGAAGATGGGAAGAATTGCAATGCAGATGCAGGATACACAGGTAAGCTCCATTCCATCAGCTAAGTCATTTCCTTGTATGTTTCTCAGGATGGTGGCTTGCAATTCATATGAAATACTTATTTTTCTGTCCATATGCAGATAAAGATCGTGTTCAATTGCTTCAGTATGATTTCATCAGCTCTTGGCTCTGATGAATCACTAACCTATGCTGATCACCTCTTGGCCCCATTGTATAAAGTTTCTGAAGGATTTGCTGGGAAAGTTGTTAGTGGTATGTTAATATTCCTGTCTTGGTATTGTTCATTATTTGTTTTCAGCATATCGGAGGTGCATACATATTCAGTGTAGGCATGTTCAGTGCCTAGGGCTTGCCATCTGTCTGAGCTTATCTGAGTACCGTTTTGCTGTTGTCGTTTCAGATGAAGTGAAGCAACTGGCCCAGGGGGTCCAGAACAAGTTACGTGACCTGATTGGCTCTGAGAAATTTGTTGAAGTCTACAAGAGCGTTCGGATGGGCCTGAAACAGAAGCGGGACGGTAGAAAGCAGGCACAGAAGATTGTTGCAGCCGTGGACCCAGAACGGCATGCCAAGCGAAAGCAGCGTATTGCAGCCAAGCACCGGGAACACAAGAGGCGGAAGATAATGGCGATGAAGATTGGCAGGTGGATGAGGTAGTTTGGTATTAAGCTCTGTGAAATTAGGTGGCAACGGAGTCATCTAATTGTAGAGGTTTTGTACTGCTAATTTTTCGTGCTAGATGTGCTGGCATAAAACTAAGTTAATGTTTAAGTAGATAGAAAATTTTGTTTTATACGCTGTCACACTTTTGACTGGCCGACCTAATTTTGTTGTTGAGTTTCGATATCATATTGTAAGTAAAATATTAAGAGGGATATGCAATGAAGGTATAATTTTTTGGATTAATTTCTTTTCCGGGGAAACAAGTAATAATAATATATTAATTGTGCAATCAAGAATTCTTGCATGAGGTTTGCAGCTGGCGCCATCTGATACCCCGACTCGATAAATCGGTGAAAATGCACCGGTGAAACTGATACAACCGAGCATCGACAGTCTGCTGCATCCTTCCTGGGAATCGCAAACCGTACCGTACAAAATTACTAACGATACCTTTTTAGTATTTTGAACGAAAAAGTTGATTTAGTCTATGAATGCTGTTTTTTCTAGTTTCAAAATTTAATACTACAAGTTTGGCTATCGTAAACGTTGTACCGTGATTTGCGTCTTCTTGAAGACATGGCATTACTCCCTCTGTCTCATTAAAAGTGTCATTTTCACTTCTCGAGGATTTAAATATTTTTGACTTTTGACTAAATATGTAGAAAACATTAATATTTATGGTGCATAATTAGAGTAATCACTGAATATATTTTTCATGTTAAACTCGTTTAAAGATGTAAATATCTAGTTAAATTTGAGAAAGTTTGAATAGCACGAAACTTTATATGACATTCGTTTTGGATGAATGGAGTATGTAAGTTTTCTTTAACCAAATTTGGCTTCGTCCATCTTTTCCTTTGCTTCTCTCTCTCTCTCTCTCTCTCTCTCTCTCTCTCAAAAAAGACAGCATTATATCAATTTAACTGTTGGTAACAAATTATGGCCTAGATCATTTCGAGAGGCTCATAACACCAAATTGGTCCATTGAACTAATCGGCTAGCCTTGCTACATGAGTTGCCTTATTACAGTCTCCTAACATGAGAAGGCCTGCCTAGGCTCTAGTGGGGAATCCGAGGAGGAAATAGTGGCTCCTAACCTAGAATAGTTTCTATCATATCTATTTATGTATTGGTTCTCGTATTTTATATATAATTTATATCTAAGAAGCTATTTCTTCATCTCTTATTAATTTCAATACCATATCATTATTTTGATTAGTTTTTTTTATCTCAAAAGACGGCTGTAAGGCCTTATATTGCTATCAGAGGACTCAGCTAAATATCTAGAAATCAGAACCAAGGTACACCGTACACCCCCGCCAGCCTTTGCTCCTCGCCGTCGCCGCCCCTACCGCCTAGGGCTCCTCTCCTTCCTCTCCGGTGCGTCTGCGGGTGGTAAGAAGAGGGTCCCATCTCTCTTCTCCGTACTTTTTAGAGATCTAGTTTGTTCAGGTTTATCCCAAATAATTCTATCGACGAAATTAGACGATTTTCGGTCAGGATATTGTTTCCTGCGATGATTTTAGTGATTGCAACGACGAAGTTGCCATTGCAGATGTCGATTTCATCGGCAGGCGGTCAATTTGTGGCCGTTATCCGCAATGGGAGGGTGCTTCTGGGCACTCTCAACAAGGACAGTTCTCCGGATCGTCAATGGTCACGGAGAGGAAATCAAGGATTGAAGGTGATGGATCTACGTCCTATATTGTGCCTGACGATGCATCTGCCGATATTCTTTCATCGATTCAAATGCGCTTTGGATTGGTTCTAGAACGTTGATCTTGGGGCTTGTCCAATGTTTTAGGGTTAATCGTTGGATTCGGTACATGGACTGTACTCTGGCTTCGGTGTTCAACTGCATCGACGAAAGCCACGAGGGAAGACGATGGAAGAACTTGATAGAATATTGTGCCTTACTTATTTCAAAAATTTTCATATGTAATTTGGTGCTTTGGAAAAAAAAGAGCACTCAGCTAAATCGCGAGTCACGTGATTGATTAGTTGACTGTCCTAAGAGCATCTCCAAGAGTTCCCTAAATCTCTTCATAATCCTTGATTTTTAGAAAGATGAGAAAAAACATTCTCCAACAACTTCTAATCTATCGCCCTAATTTTTAGGACTCGGAAAACACTCACCCAATCCGCGTAACTTTACGCACCGGAGACCTCACGCATATCGTAGCATCCCGCGCTGTTTCCGTCTTGGCGTGGTGTTTTGGCGTGGCTCTTCCCCTTCACGCCGAAGCAGAGGGTCGCCGCCGCCGTCTACTGGAGCGGAGTTGGTGCCGGCATCCTCTGGATGTGCGTCTTGGTTCCTGCGGGGCTGCTTGGAGGTGGCCACCGCCTGGGACAACAAGACCAGCCGGTGGATGTGCGTCTTGGTTCCTCCACGGCAGCGGCGTGTACGTGTTCGAGACAACACCATGGCAGCGGCGGCGGCCGACCTGAAACTACCGATGACTTTAGCGGGAAAAAAAAGAATCGCAAAAAAAAAAGGTGGGACCAACTTTGATTTTTTTAAAGTCAAATGTTAGGGATTATTGAAGATGGCCTTTTTTTTCTTCCAATAATTTTTTAGGAGTTGAGAAACATGGAGGTTTTAGAAGAAATATTTAGGGAACTGTTGTAGATGCTCACTCAGCTCGAAGTAGGGATGAAAACGGATCGGGTACGAACGGATATCACTCATATTATATTTGTTTTCATATTTCTGTTCGGATTCGGATTCGGACACGGATAGCGTTCGAATACATATACGAATACGGATTGACTCGGTTACGGATACGAATAATGAGTATCGAATACGGTATGAATCGGATTCGGAGAAGGTCGGATACAAATATCTATTCGGATATTGAGTAAAAGCAAGATATATATATATATATATATCATACGTGCATAAAACCATTACACCACTCTATGAGTCCATAATCCATTTAGATTAAGCCGAAAGACTAAAGAGTAAAGCAACAAATAAGATAAAGATATAGATACATCATACATCAAACATCATATAAGCACCAATCTTGCACATGAGTAGAAATAGCCAAGCACATTGCTTCATGGGTCTCATGGAGTCATGGTCATGGATTCAAGATCTACAATCCTTATATAGGCTATTTTTTCATTTTGAGAAAGTTTGAACAAAATGTAGTTCAAATTTCACAAGTGTGTGACATAGTTTTAGAAAGTCTCATATGAGATTTAAGAATTTGTGACTAGTGTTTGATAAAACTTTCTCAAATGGGAAAATGAGCTATGTAACAATTGTATATCTTGCTGAGATGATCAAATTTGGTATTCAGAGTTTTCATCTGAGGTCATTTAGTGTCTCATTTGAGCAAGTTTAACCAAGTCAAATTTGGTCAAATGAAAAATAACACTTTGACTCTAGTATTATGAACTCTAAATGACTTCAAATTGAAAAGTTTTGAATACCAAGTTTGTTCAACTCATCAAGATCTACAATTATTGTTTTGGTCAACTTTCCATTTGAGATAGTTTGGACGGTTCAAATTTGTGATTTTTAAATTTCGATGCTTACAAACTAGTTTTCGCCCTAAATTGTCTCAAATTGAAAAGTTTTGAATACCAAGTTTGTTCAGCTCATCAAGATCTACAATCATATAGGCTATTTTTTCATTTGAGAAAGTTTGAACAAAATGTAGTTCAAATTTCACAAGTGTGTGACATAGTTTCAGAAAGTCTATATGAGATTCAAGAATTTGTGACTAGTGTTTGATAAAACTTTCTCAAATGGGAAAATGAGCTATGTAACAATTGTATATCTTCCTGAGATGATCAAACTTGGTATTCAGAGTTTTTTCATCTGAGGTCATTTAGTGTCTCATTTGAGCAAGTTTGACCAAGTCAAATTTGGTCAAATAAAAAAACAACACTTTGACTCTAGTATTATGAACTCTAAATGACTTCAAATTGAAAAGTTTTGAATACCAAGTTTGTTCAACTCATCAAGATCTACAATTTTTGTTTTGGTCAACTTTCCATGTGAGATAGTTTGGACGGTTCAAATTTGTGATTTTTAAATTTTGACGTTTACAAACTAGTTTTCGGAACCCTAGATTGTCTCAAATTGAAAAGTTTTGAATACCAAATTTGTTCATCTCATCAAGATATACAATCCTTATATAGGCCATTTTTTCATTTGAGAAAGTTTGAACAAAATATAATTCAAATTTCACAAGTGTGTGACATAGTTTCAGAAAGTCTATATGAGATTCAAGAATTTATGACTAGTGTTTGATAAAACTTTCTCAAATGGAAAAATGAGCTATGTAACAATTGTAGATCTTGCTGAGATGATCAAACTTGGTATTCAGAGTTTTTTCATCTGAGGTCATTTAGTGTCTCATTTGAGTAAGTTTGACCAAGTCAAATTTGGTCAAATGAAAAAACAACACTTTGACTCTAGTATTATGAACTCTAAATGACTTCAAATTAAAAAGTTTTGAATACCAAGTTTGTTCAACTCATCAAGATCTACAATTGTTGTTTTGGTCAACTTTCCATTTGAGATAGTTTGGATGGTTCAAATTTGTGATTTTTAAATTTTGAATAAATATCCTAATATCCGTTTTTAAATATCCGGATATATCCGATACTTATCCGGATTATCCGATATTCGTATCGGGATATTACATCCGTTTTATATCTGCCTAGAATATCCGCTTTAGGGATCCGAAAAAAACTATCCGAGTAACTATCCGTAAATGTTCATTTGTTTCGGCCGAATCAGACGGTCGAATAAATATCCGTACCGTTTTCATCCATAGCTCGAAGCCACGAGGGAAGAACGTTGGGACGGCGGAGGCGCAGCCAACCAAAAAGCTTCCACCAATCGTCAACACGACCCGCATGTGTGGGACCGGAGCACACCGTGTGCGGCAGGCAGAAGAAGACTCGCAAATTGACCCCACGGCGCCGTGGGACCCGGAGCACGGGCCGGCATCCGTGGCTCTGGCTCCGTCTCATAA